TCCTGTCCCAGCCCAGCTGGCAGGAGATGAGCTGGAGAGGGTGGCCTCAATCCAGTTGGGCCAGGTTGGGGCCCAGGCAACCAGACACCTCCTGGTTCCCACGCTCAGGGAGCAGGCCTCAAGCAGAACTGGTTTCATAATCCATAATCTCACCTCTGCTGTGTGCTCTTTGCATAATGACCTGCCATTTGGTTCCCACATCACAATCACTGTATTTATCTATGCAAAACAGCACCTCATTAAAAAGAAGAAGAAACACATCACTATTGGCCCAACCCCTCATTAGAGTATAATGCACAGGCCCTGGGCACACCCCGGGTGGAACCAGAGCCTGGCCTGGTCAGGCTTTCAAGCCTACAGCTCCAACTCAGTCTCCACCCTTGTCCCATTCTTCTCTAGTGAGTTGTGCTGTTCCCCAACTCTGAGTAGTGGGGAAATGACTGATTAGGAACCCTGTGCAACTGAGGGATGGGCTCCTCATGGGAGTCCCTCCCCTAAGGGGTCTTCCTCTCAATCAGTGGCTACTGCCAACACCCACACAGACTGCCATCAGCCCAAGCTGGACTACAGTATTCGCCAACCATTAACCTATTTCTATCTTTGTTTCTCACTAGAATGAAAGCACTACGGATCTTAACCCAGGCTTGACACCTAGCAGGCCTTCCTTAAATATTTACACACGGCTCCATTTCATTGTGACTTCATAATAAGAAATTTCATGATGGCTTCTCCAAACAGTTTCACTCCCTCTCTCTACAAACGCTGAGGTTGCCTTATATCATCCTTTCTTCCCTCATTTGTCAGGTTCTCAGCACAGCAAGCCAAAATGCCTTCATTTTCAACAAAGACTGGTTTCTAGATAAACAATGTATTTATTTTCTTCTTATTTAAAAGGAAGGGTGAGTGAGAGAGAATACGTGTGCTTCCATCCATTGGCCTGCTGGACAGAACCAGCCCAAGTCAGAAGTCTGGAACTTGATTGAGGTTTCCCATGTGGGTAACAGGGACCCAGATACTTAAAACATCCCTTACTACCCCTCTTTTCCCTCTGGGAAGCTGGATCAGAAGTGGAGGAGTTGGGACTTGAACCAGGCATTCTGGAATGACATACAGCCGTCCCAAGCAGGCACTTAAGCTGGTGCACCAAATGCGTGCCCTTTGAATAAAGACCTTGTGCTTTTTGTGTTGTCTGAAGATACACACAAAACAAATCAAGAAAGACGCAGCAGCCAAGTACACGGCACCCAACTTCAAACTCCGTGGCTGGTTGAGAGCATGTACCACCCCACTCCCTCCCCTTCCCAGGACAGTAGATTTTTAAAAGCAGAGCCCATCTGGATTCTCACAGACACCCTGTGGATGGTTTGCCATCACAATGTCCTGCGAGCCAGGGTCAGACCTGCCTTCTCAGCCTGGACCCCACCCACACACCGCACCTGTTCTGCGGCCCAGTTTCTCTATCTGTCAAATGATGATAATGATAGCTGTCTCTCCCCCACTTCTCAGCGTGTGCAGATGACTGAGATAAATGCAAAGTGCTTGGCACATCAGGGAAGAGAGCACAGATGACCCCAAGGTGGGGGCAGGGGGCAGCAGCGTGGCAGGCACCCAACCCTGATTTTTCACTTCCTTTCCATGTGCCCGGGCCCCCAAGGCTGGCACAACCACACTGCTGGCCCTATGGAGAGGCCACTGAAGAGTCCCAGAACTGTTTGCCAGGAGGTCAGCATCCCCTACGGAGCACTGGGGGCTTGTGCCCTCCCCAGAATGGGCAGCTCCTCCCCAGAGTGTCTCAAGATGCATCCTGGTGCCCTCGCTGTGCTACACCCGCAGTGAGCTCCTGAGCCACAGTGGTGGCGATTGAATTGGCAGCACTCACTCAGAAGCAGGGTCCAGGCCTCCCAGCCCCACCTCGGACAGCACACAACAGTGGCCATGCCTGAACAGGTGTGAACCACTCAGCCAGTAGGCCAATGGAATCTACAAAGTTTAAGGCTTCCTGCTCCTGGGACTTGAAGAGAGAGAAAAACAAGGTTAAAAAACAAGCTTCACATCTAAAATTAAACATGCACATGTACACACACATACCCACCCTAGACAGTTGCTCCTACATCTGTCTACCTGACATCACACTGAGCACTAGAGGACTTCCAGGGTGGGAATGATGAATAATATAACCCAGCAAAGTCTGTTTGGCTGGTCTAAGACGCTTATGAAGGGGACAGTGGCCACAGGTTGAGATGTGCCCAGGACTGTGTTATTGGATGGAACCAGCGGAGGTATCCGCAGTAGTGTGGCTTGGGATAATGAGAGATTACCAACACAGAGAGGGTGCTGTCCCCAGAAGCTCTTCCCCCTCACCCCACCTTCCCACCCCAGTGTGCTAAGTGCTTTGTGCTCCCAAGCCAGAATGTGGACTCAGAACATTGATGGTGGCAGATGAGAGCAAGGAGAGGGGCAGCTTGGGGCTCCCAGCCTTGATGCCCAACGTTTCACTGCCCATTCTGGGCCCTCATCCCACGGCTCATTCAAGATCTGCCTTGTGGGGGAAAAAGTCCCCAAGAGGTGACCCACAAAGCTCACCTGCAACAGGGGTACTGATTGGAAAACACAGACCGTGCCTGTGTACCCCTGAGGAACCAAGAGCTGCTACAGATGCAAGCCGAGATGCCATGGATGGCAGGGCTGGTGTTGGCCATGTGCCTGGTGGAGGAGAAAGACTCCCAGACTCCCAGGCTTGGAGATTGCTGAGTTGTTACTCTGTGCGGCCTCGGGTGAGTCCCTCCTTCTCTCCAGACCTCAGCTTCCCAGTTTGTGACACAGGAGTTGGATCGGATGATGGGAGTCCCCCCACTTATCTGTAAAGGACACATTCCAGGAATTGCAGAAACTGCTTGGAACTACAGATGCTATCAAACCCTCTATCTGCTACAGTTTTGTCCCTTGGGAAGCAAATCTGTGATAAAGTTTAATTTATAAATTAGGCACAGCAAGAGATTAATAGTATCTACTAAAAAAGAGCAATTAGAGCAAACGGCTAGAATGAAAGTTTTGCCAATGTCTTGATGTCCTGTGCATGTTCTGCTGATGATTGACACAGCTAAGAGGGAGCGAGGGGAAAGACACAGACAGTGTTTGGCCACTCTGACCTTCTGGAATGTTCTCAGAAGGAAAACCACATGCTTCCTTTCCGGGAGGGATGGTGAGAGATTTCATCACAATGTTTAAAAGAAAGTGCATTTTAAAAACTTACGAACTGTTTATTTCTAGAAGTTTCCATGTCATATGTTCCAACTGCTCTTAACTGTAGGTTAAGTGAAACTATGGGAAGTGAACCCAAGGGTCAAGGGGGAAGTCTTGCACCTCCAAGGTCCAACAGCAGTAACATCCTAAGCACAACAGTGCAAAACCGGGAAGGGACCAATTCAGGAATATCTCTGAATATAGCACTTAGCATCACTGCACAAGATGGAAGGCAGAATTAGGATTTGCATCTGGGGGATGGAGCAGGTGTTGGGTCTCCTGATTAGGACAGTCCCCCCTCACAGAGCACAAGAGTTTGGTTCCTGCTTTTAGCTTCCTGCCAGAGCAGATCCTAGCAGGTAGCAGAGGATTCAGATAGATCCCTACCACTCATCTGGGAGACCTGGATTAAGTTCCCAGAGTCTAACTTTGGCCTGGTTCGCTTCTAGCATTTGCATATGCATTTGAAAAGTAAATCAACAAATGGAAGGTCTGTCATGATGTGTTCCATCCCCTCGACCCAATCCCTTTGATGCTTAAAATGCATACAGCAGAAACAAAGACAACGGGGTTTCTGAAAAACTGAATTCATGGGGCCACATTGTGGTGGACTGGGTTAAGCCATTGCTCATGATATCAGCATCCCACATGGGCAGCTGGTCCGTGCCGCGCTACTCTACTTCCAGTTTAGCTCCTTGCTAATCTAATCCTCCACTGAAAAAGCAAAGGGTGATAGCCCAAATGCTTGGACCCCTGGACCTACATGGGAGACCCAGATGAAGCCCCCAGCTTCTAGTTTCCGTCTGGCCCTACCCTGGCCATTGTGGCCTTTTGAGAGGGTAAACCAGCAGATGTAAGATCTCTCTTGCTCTCTTCAACTCTGCCTTACAAAAAAGATTAAAAAAAAAAAATATTTCTTTATCTTTATTGGAAAGTCAGATTTACAGAGGGAAAGAGAGATAAAGATCTTTCATCCACTGGTTCACTCCCCAAGTGGCCACTAAAGCCAGAGCTGAGCTGATCTGAAACCAGGAGCCAGGAGCCTCTTCCGGGTCTCCCAAGGCTTTGGGCCATCCTTGACTGCTTTCCCGGCCACAAGGATGGGATGCCAGGACAGGAACTGGCGCCACATGGGATCCCGGCATGAGCAAGGCGAGCACTTCAGCCACTTAACGCTACCATGCCAGCACCCCCAGAAAAAATTCTTTGGAAATTGAATTAGCATTTGGGGAGCATCAGAGTGAGCTGGAAGTCACCCTTCCCAGTTACACACAGTGTCCTGACCTCATCGTCCTATGGAAGAGTCTCAGACAATGGACTCCACGTTGGGCAACTCCAGTCCAGGTCCAGGGCTTCTGCTGGCTATGGCTGCAGGCAAAGCAGTTATCTTTGGCTGGGCCTGTTTTCCCATCTCTAATCATCTTGGCCTCCTCCCTGCCCCACGAGGACGCTGTGAGAATTCACTGAGTAATGTCCACAAAGCACTTAGCTTGCAAGGGGAGCAGAGTCCCACGTAAATAGAAGCTGACGAGGCTTGTTGTGACAGCTGCTGGAGTCCCTTCCCCAGCCCCGCGTTGGCTGCCCATGGACATAAACCTGCTATGAGTCATGACTGCCTCGTGCTCCAGGTTCAGTTAAGAGAATTCCCTGGAGCATCCTGTTCATACCTCACCTTGTGGCCGGATGGGGAGACATCAGAGAGCAAGATTAAGAAAATATAATGCCATAGCTTCCCCTAGCACCTGATTCCACGCTACCTTTTACCCACTTTGTGCATTTCATGAGGGCGGGGACATCTGGGCCACCATGTTGCACAACTGCAGGGGGCACCGTTGGCCAGCATTGCATTGACACTCAGCTTTTGTTGAAGAGACGGGTGGAAGAACGCGTGGCCCTCTTAGCTTCTGCTGAAAGGAAACAAACTCATATGTTTGAAAATCCACCATTATTTCATTTATTCCTTTCAACGGCTGATATTGAGATTGTTCTCCTATTTTATGGTTGGGCACACTGAGGCTCTAGTATTAAACATTCACCATGGTCTCATAGCATGTAAAAAGCAGACACAGAATTTGAATCCATGGCCTACTTGTGGATTCCAGGCCTAGTGCCTTAAACCTGGGTGTTAAGAATAATCATGCTTGAAATCAAGAGAAACATGGGATGCTATCTTCCCTAGGAATCCTGACTGCATTCACAGGGTGACGGCGTGAGGGAGGGATTACCTGGGAACCCTGAGAGGCCTAATCCAGCCAAGCTCGCAGGTAGCAAGTGCTGGCTGGGAAACAACCAAGCTCTCATGGTGTCTCCAATCTTTCTGGAGAGCCAGTGGAGCCAGGGCTGGCCTTCCTCCCTTCCTTTCTATAGTCTGTATACTTTACAGCACCCCATCTCTATCACACACCAAAACCCCTGCTGACCACAGTCTCCCCTAGAATGTGAAGGTACATTTCTTTTGATACCCAACATTTTGGAAACAAACACAGAATGGTTCATAACCCACATTTGCCATTGCCAGTTTTAGAGCCCTTTTACCCAGACCCGCAGGCACAGCATGTCTCTTTTCCTTGCCTGGGGAACTCCTCCATGTCCAGAAGACAGGAAAGCAAGCGATGCACAGGAGAGGCATCAAGAACGCTGAGTGTAGGACGTCAGCGGTGTCCTGCGGTCACTCTCTGGGACCTTGGCCCGGAAGGCATACGGGGTTGATGTGGCTCCTCCAGCCTCATCCCATCAGGAATAGAGGCTCACCCTGCGCTCGGTTGACCTTCATGAGTCCTCTGCTCTGGAAACAATGATCGCTGGTCTATCAGAAGGCTTTCCAGTGGACCTTGTTTGAGTAGCTATCTTCGGGAGAGCCCTCAGGAAGAAGTACATATTGACTTAAGCATTACCGACAGCTGAGAGAGGCCCTGAATGTGTCTCCCCGCATCTGGGGCCTGATAATGGCAGGGTGGCTAACCAGCAGGAAGGGAGTTACCTGAGCTCAAGGATCCCTTTCTTTTTTTCTAGAATCTACCTTACTCAAGAGCTTCCAACCTCGAATAGGTGGGGGTGGGTGACGAATGAAACAAAAATGGCCACAGCATCACCTGTTAAGGTGAGGCCTATAGGTAAGGTGGCTGATCAGGGAGCCCAGAACCAATGATTTGGTGTTCAGCTTGGGAGCCACAGTCTCAGCTCTACTTTGTTATTTGCCTAGGGCTGCTCTCTCTCTCTCTTTTCTCTCTCTCTCTCTCTCACACACACACACACACAAAGGCACAGACTGGGAGATTGACACAGTGGAAGGAAGCTCACGGTTTCACAGTTTCAGAGACCTGCAGCCCAAGTTCAAGGTATCAACCAGACTCCCCTTGTAAATATACAAGCTGTAAATATACGTGGTATGCATTTGGCTTCCTTAGTTTTTCTGATCCCAGCTCTAAAGCAGTGTCCCAGGACAGAACGAGCTCTTGTGTTTCTAAGAGCTGAGCTCCAAGTGCCTCCCTGTTACGTGCCCACAAACAGCAGGCTTATCCATGCCCTTGGTGCAAGACCACCACGCCTCCACAAACAAGGCTAAAGCCAGCCCCATGGTGGCCTGCCCAGGAGAGGGAGAGCCGCAGGGCGGTTTCTGTACCCCAGGTGGATATACCTCACTGCACTGATCCCTTCCACCTTGCTCTCTGGTCAAGTAGATCTAGTTAATAAAGATCCATGGGCCTTATCAAGTAGCAAAGAAGGAGTTTTACAGAGGAGCCTCCGGGTTTAACACAATTCTGCCGTGAGCTGGTCATGGGATCTTAAAGTCATGTCACAGGTCTGGGTCTCAAGGTCTCCTATTACCAAATGAGTGTGTCAGTTAAGGTCAGTCCAAGGTCAGCCCTGCCTCTGGAGCACAAAGCAGAACAGGGCAGGAGTCTAGCTTTGGAACCCTTGGGAGTGACTGGTTCTTCGAGAGGATATTCAAATGACTATCGGTTCTCTTCTTGGCCCACACCCTTACCTGCCGTTTTTCTCTGGAAGAATTCCACTTCACTGTTCATTTACCCTTTTCAACAGGATGAAAATGCATATCCTAAGGTGCATTAAAAAAAAAAACCAGCTTCTAGTTTAGATATTTACACACCTTAAAATGCATCTCTTTAAAATGCACAGTTCAATAACTTGTTATATCAGCTTATTTCAAAAATTTCATGCAAAAATAATTAAAAGACACATTTATTTGGATGTGAAAATGAAAGTTCTACATCGACACACAATTTTTTCAAAATACAGATGGTCCATGTTTTTTGGTAACCTGCTTGACTCACTCACCATGTTTTCAAGGCTCCAGTTGTAGCAGGTGTCAGCCCTTCGTTTACTTTGCCGCACCCCATTTCACCATGTGGACAAACTGCATTCTGTTTCTTTGCTCCACACAGGATGGGCATCTGGATAGTTAGCACTTTTTGTCTATCGCAAATACATCATCTTTGAAAATGCAGATGCAGGTGACAGTGTGACGGCACAATGGGCTGACGGTGATGCCAGCAGCTGGTACATGAGCACAGGTGCAAGGCCGGGCTGCGCCACATCCAGTCCAGTTTCCTGCTCATGCACCTGAGAAAGTGACAGGAGACAGCCAAGTCCTCGGCTCCTGCACCCGGGGGGGAGGCCCAGATGGAGTTCCAGGTTCCTCGACTTCAGCCTGGCCCAGCCCCAGCAGTTGCAGCCATTTGTAGAGTGAATTAGCAAACAAGATTCTCTCTTTCTCTCTCTCTCTCCCTCTATATCACTCTGCATTTTCAAATAAGTAACATATACTATTACAATAATAAAATTAGCAAATACTGATTTTTGGATGAATCTACATTTTCAAGTTGCTGGCCATTTGGCAATTCAGTGTTTAATTAACTATCTTCTAAAACACCACCACACAATCTCTCCAGCCAGATAGGAGGGCTCAGATTTCTCTTCATTCTTGTTAAAGCGTGCTAATGTTCCTATTGGGGTTGTTTTAGTGTGTGTGAGTGGTATGTTGCTGTGATTTTTAAGTGTACTAATTTTTTTTTATTATTTAAGCACACTAATCTTTTAAAAAGTATTTATTTATTCATCCATTCATTCACTTATTTATTTGAAGGAGAGAGATCACCTACCTGCTGCTTCATTCCCCAAGTGGCCCTGTAGCCATATCTGGACCAGGTTAAAGCCACGAGCCAGGTCTCTTCAGGGGTGTCGGTAGCCCAATCACTTGGAACAGCATCTGCAGCCTCCTCAGGTGCGGTAACAGGAAGCTAGACAGGAAGCGGAACAGCCAGACTTGAACTAACACTCCGAAATCAGACGCCAGCGTTGCAACTGGAGGCTTAAACTGCTGCCCCACTACATTGTTCCAAAGGGCTCTCCCCTTCCATAAACAGCTGGGAGATGTTTTGTGAGTGTATACAGCTGTGAAGACAACCACACAGGTCAAGTTCACAACACCTCCTTTGCCCCACTTCCCAGGCACCACCCTTCTCCCCAAGGTATCCCCGCTTCTGCATCATCACACTTTGATTTTCCTGCTCTTGAACTTCATGTACGTGAAAAAATAGAAAATACACAGTTACATCTGACTACTTTCACTCATAGGAAGTAGTGCATTTGTTATTCCTTGTTATTCCTGTGTAGGGTTCCGCTGTTGGAGTATTTTACCATCTAAGTATCCACTCTTCTTTCAGTAGGCATTTGTCATGCTCCAGTTCAGAGTCATGATGAATAAAAACACCAACGCATTCTATATTTCTGTACGAAATCATGCAATTTCATTTCTCTTAGGCACAAAAGGCTATTCACACACCATAAAACTCACTTTAGAAAAAAGTTGGTTTTTGTTTGTTTGTTTATTTGTTTTACTTGGATGTCAGAGTTACAGAGAGAGAGGGAGACACAGAGAAAGAGATCTTTTATCCACTGGTTAACTCCCTAAATGATCTCAATGCACAGAGTTGAGTGGGTTTGAAGCCAGGAGTCAGGAGCTTCTTCCAGATCTTTCTTGTGGGTGCAGGGACCCAAGGGCTCCATCCTTTGTGGCTTTCCCAGACCATGAGCAGAGAGCTGGATTAAAAACGAAGCAGGTGGGACTAGAATTGGCACCCATATAGGATGCCAGCACTGTAGGCAAAGAATTAACCTGTTATAACACAGTGCTGGCTCCTAAAACCCTCTTAAACGAATAAATCAAATTTCAAAAAGTTGTGGTATAACAGGTTAAACTGTTGCTTGAGATGCTGGCATCCTACCACGGATTGCCAGTTTAACTTTAGCTGTTCGTCCTCTGATCTAGCTTCCTGCTGATGTGCCTGGCAAGGCAACAGGAGATGGCCAAGTCCTCAGTCCCCTGCAATCCAAACGGCAGACCCTGATGGAGTTCTGAGTTCCTGAATTTTCTTAAGATTTATTTATTTTTATTGGAAGGACAGATTTACACAGAGAGAAAGATACAGAAAGATCTTCTATCCACTGGTTCACTCGCCAAGTGGCTGCAATGTTCAAAGCTGAGCAGATTTGAAGCCAGGAATCAAGAGCTTCTTCCAGGTCTCCCATGTGGGTTCAGGGTCCCAAGGCTTTGGGCTGTCCTCCACTGCTTTCCCAGGCCACAAGCAGGGAGCTGGCTGAGAAATGGAGCAGCTAGGACATGAACCAGTGCCCTTATGGAGATCCTGGCATGTGCAACATGAGGATTTAGCCACCGAGCCATTGCACCAGGTCTGAGCCCTGGATTTTTGCCTAGATGCTGTGGCCATTTGGGGAGTGAACCAACAAGTGGAAATTCACTCCTCTGACTCTTCTCTCTCTTTTTCTCTGGCTCTCTCTGTCAATCTGCCTTTCCAATACCAAAATAAGTAACTAAATAATCTTGGAAAAAAATTTCAAAAATACCATGTAAAATGAAATTGAAAATCTGGTGAAAAAAGGTTTTTGAAATCAAGGCATATGTGGGGATCTCCAAAAAGTTCATGATTTACATTACGAAAAAAATTATGGGGACAGGTGCTGTGACACAGGGAGCTAGGCTGGTCCTTGGGGTACCTACGCCTCACGTTTATGCACTAATTCAAATCCTTCTTCTTCCATTTCTTCTTTAGCTTCCTGCTAGTACGTCCTGGGATGCAGAGGAGAACCCAAGCACTCATGTCCCTGCCACTCATGTGACAACCTCTCCAGTGAAGTTCCTGGCTCCTGATTTAAGCCTGGTCCAGCCTTGGCGGTTGCAGATGTTTGGGAAGTGAATCAGTGGAAAAAAGATAATTTTCTTATGGTGATTCACATCTACATTTCTCTGACCACTAGTCATGCTGGATACCTTAACTTGAAATTTGGCTAAATGGGTGTGATAAACAGTATTTATTGATTCCAGTAACTCTTGAAAGAGTTGGGGACTAAGATGCTCCAAGGGTTCCCTTCTAACATGAGGTTCTCGTATCCTAGATCTTTGGTCACACTCCAATAACTGAAGGAAACTCGAATATGACATCAGTTGACACGAGATTATTTATTCATCTTCAAATGATCAATATTTTATATCTAAATTTTAGGACTTCCTTTGAAACATATGCTTAAGAGGAGAGAGAGAGGGAGAGACAGCATTCTTTTTTTTTTTAAGATTTATTTATTTCTTCTATCTGCTACTTCCCTCCCCAAATGGCCACAATGGCCACAGCTGAGCTCTAATTGAAGCCAGGAGCCAGGCCGTTCTTCCAGGTCTCCCATGCCAGTGCAGGGTCTCAAGGCTTTGGTCTCAAGGTCTAAATTTATTTGAGAATAAGTGAAATAAAGAATCCAAGCTGCAGGACTGTTCCAACAGTGACTTTGGAACTCAATCCAGGTCTCTCACGTGATTGGCACAGACCCATGAACTTGAACCATCACTGTTAGCTCACAGGGTCTGCATTAGCAAGAAACTGGAGTCAAGAGCCAGAGCTGGGTCTCAAATGCGGGCACACTGGTGGGGCACCTTCACCGCTAGGCTGTCTACCTACACCCCAAATCTTCGATCCTTTCCAATCTTTTATGATAGCTTAACAGAGGGAGTATTTGAAAAAGGGACAGTTATTTTTAAATGAAAGCACACTCTGCCCTTCAGGAAAAGTGATGAGAAGGACCAGAGTTCTGGAAGATTCCTTGTGATAATCACATCACATGGGGCCCTAGGAGGAGGACATTGCATCTTATATCCAGGACTGGGGTAAAATGTCCAGGACCTTTGGAGTAGAGGAATTTCAAAGACTGGTTCTGAGGCAAGAGGCTGATTTCCCAAGCCCTCCATGCTGGGCCCTACGTAAACAAGACCTTCCCAGCCTGCAATAAACTTCCATCTCCCTGCCCAATAAATATCACTGATGTGTTTATGTCTTACAAAGCCATTGGGGTGAAGGAGTGAGCACCATGTTAAACCAAACAGACCAAAAATCATCCCACAACCTTTATCAGACACTAAAACAGATTTCAATGTGGAAAATTTCTTCTAAATAGGGACATGGAAAATTACGGATATAGAATCCTATAACCTCTGAGACGGAAGGAACTCGGGAGGTCGTGGGTGAACCTCACGCCTGCTCTGGAATTCACATTACAACAGCCCAGCTGTCCTCCACTTGCACAGGCCTGAACTGGGTCCTTTCACAGCACTTCCAAGGAAGCTTTCCATTCTCTGTTAGACAATTGTTATGCAGCTGTCGCTAGGTCGAACCAAAGTGCTCCTTCTGGAAAGTTCCATCCTTCAGTCTATGCCATCTCATCCTGGCATCTTGTCCTTGAGTGTTTCAAGGGTGACTCTGACCTTCTCTAAGGCATTTTCTAAGACTAAGCATTCCCAGTTCTTCCCAGTGCAGAGCCATCCGCTGGACACCTCAGCTATGGCCTGGCAGCTCATCACTCCCAAGTGTTCTCCATGTTCCTCCCCCGCATCCTGAAGACCAGCTTCTGTCCAGGATTGGACCAGCTATCTCATCCGTGCTCCCCAAGGTACAGACACGTACATGGTGCTTTCGTGACACCCCTGCAAACTCTCTCGGAGAAAGAGGGACCTGAAGCAGATGCTTCCACGGAGGAGGAGTTCCATTTGTTCTGTGAGTTTTTAACAAACTCTGCATGCCTTTAGAAAATACAAGCAACCTTGTGGACCCTGAGCTAGAATGAGCCCCAGCAGACATCCCGGGGGAGGGCCGAGCGCTTGCTCATCCAGCCGCAGACTGTAACTTACTGGAAGTGTTTTCCAGACACTCATAAGGAGAGTAGAGCTGGGCCTTTGGGAAATCCATGGACTCTGCCTGGTTCTTGTCTGTGTGAGCCAAATGGTTCAGATCTAGGCAGATAGGGACCTGAGCTCTTCAGGGCAAGAGGTGGCTGCAACAGTCCCCATCCAGGGTTTCCCTGAGATGCCAGTCATACAGCACTGACTGGCCCATCCCAGTGACCCACACAAGCCCTCCAGGCCCCTTCTCTCAGCACCCCTCTTATTCAGCTACCATCTGAGGCTGGAATTGAAAGGTGTCTTTTCGCAGAGTCCTGGCCTCTCCTCGGAGGCTGAGTGGGTTTGCGGTGGAGGCAATGTGGAGCAAACAAGACAAAGGTCTTGTTTGTCAGGCCCAGGTGACACCCATTGTGCAGGGGGCCAAGCGGTGTTAATCAGTACCAGGGCCTTTGAATAGAATCTTGGCTAAGTAAATGTGAGGAGCTGTCCTTGCTACAAGGTGATAAAAGTACTATTTCTGGTAGGGAGGTGACATGGCTGCGATTTGAGGCAATGATGTTCCCTCTCTGACAAAGGGGGAGTACCTGCTCCTAAGGCACCAGGCTTTTTTTTTTTTTCAATGCTTAGAAGGAAATCTACTACACTGAAGCCAATTGCCAAGATAATAGGGCTTTCTGGAAAGAAGCCATTGTAAACAGAAGTCTCTTCTTGCCAATCCCTTCTCACACTCCCATGCAAACACACAAAGGGGATAAGTGCATAATTGAAACACCAAGGTGTCCCAGCAGAGAAGGAAATTCACGTAGCAAACTCTGAGGGCGCAGAGGAGTTCTAATTACAACACCCAAGGGGATGGTGATGAAACCTCTACGCTCAGCCTCTTCTATGAAACACACACATAAACCTTTGACCAGCAAGCACGGCCGTTAGGAGTTGTCCATCGCCCTGATAAGGCAGGAAGAAGGGAATGGGAGAGCCGGGCGTCTCCTCTTTGATGAACGTGTGCTTTGCACAGCAAGTTGGGGAAGGAGCTAGAAATGATCCACTGCTGTTTTGCAA